TAAGCTCCGATTCATCCGAGTTTAATAAGTTTTCTATTCATCCGGACATTTTCTTTCCCTTCATCGCGGGGAGCCTCTTGAGGAAGACAAGACAAGGAGAATACACTCTTCGCCGGAGTTGCTTGCCTTCGCTGCTCGAAGGGCTGGCTGGAACAGCGGACGTCCCGCTGAACTGCGGACGCTGATACCGAATCGATGGAGTATCGCTCCTCGAGCAAGCCATCCCTGATTAAGATGACGCCGGAAGAAATGTGGATGACGGATTAATTGATTCGACAGATATGATTGAGGGTCCGCATCCCTCATGATGCTGACGATGCATCGTCTGTCGCTACCTAATGAGGGCGACGTGCTGGTCGCATGGGTCGCGACTCACAGGAGAGGCTCACTTGACCTTTCTCTCTGCTCTCAGCATTTTCGAATCCGTGATCCCTCAAAACTCGAGCTAAGACGTCCGCAAATATGGTGGCTGATTTTTTTTTATGATGAGCACTACTCAGGGGGGAGAAAGTCCGATTGGATTTCTGCTCATGTCCCACGAGTCGAGCTAGTATTAGGGGCAAGGACGGACCGCAAGGAAACGTGGCAGAAGGAACGGAAACCCCGCTTTCATGAGAGTGTTTTCGAATGACTACGCGCCAGACTCGAAATGCGCTATAAGTGAATCTTTGTTTCACTCTCTCGCGGTCTCGTTAGGCAATGTCGAAAGCCTCCCTTCGGAGAGAAAAAACACTGCATCGACTCGGCTGAAGTGAAGAGTGTTGCCAGGGACGAGGTGTGAGCATCCAACTAGTCGGCGGTGCCGCCAATCCATTTTCCAAAAATGCTAATTGGTAAGCGAGCGTTGCACGGGAGCCGGCGGTAGCGGCTACGAGGGCGACGACTACACACATACACACATCGCACAAACCGCCCAGGGACGACAGGAGGCCGCGCTCTCGCGACACGGAACGGCTTTACGGCGGCTTACACGGGTAACGGCCCAACAATAAATAACTCGACAAGTAGTTGCTAAATTCGCCCTGGGAGTCGATCCTGGCAACACGGGAGGGAGCACGTCTACTCCAACTCTACGCCTTTCGTTCGTTTGTGTGTGTTTGCGCTTGTGTGGGCGTTCGAAAATGTCTAAGCGACTCTTTTCTTGCGTCTCTGTCACACGGGCAGCGTCTTTTCCGTAGCCTAGTCCGTATCGGA